ATCCAAGCTGTATGCTACAAATTAAATGAAGAGGACGCCAGCATTAAACCCCCTCTCATTTTCTTTCTGGTTCCAGACACAATCAAATTTCATCAGTTGGATTTACCTAGATAGGATACAAAGCATGTATGGGTAGCCCTCATTTAGCAACCATAATTGGGAAATTGTGTGGAATTTCATATGGAAAATCACATGATTGCTATTGCATTTATGATTTTAATTCACCCTTCCTTTTCCCCCACTTCCCAGAATGTTCATCCCAGTGCTGCGATAATTAGCAAGAAGGAAATTAGTGCTTGTATTTACATTCATTTGGAGAGGGATTAAAAAAGAGTAAGCAGGCATACAATGGGAATGCAGCAGTACCAACTTTTGCTGTATATTCCCCATTGTGTGCCTGCTTACTCTCTTGTAATCCCTTCCTCTCTAATCTCTCTGCTCTGTGAGGAGAGGGAAGAAAAAGATAGGTCAAGCATAGAAGAAGTTGCCTAATTAGACTGCTTGCTTAATCAATCTCTCCACTCTGCTGGTGGGTGGGGGGAGGTAATAGGGCTGGGCACAGGATGTATACTAACTGACTGTAATAAACACATGACTAAAGGACAGATGCTATGAAGGTCATAAAATCATGTCTTGGCCTCAAAATTATTTTTTCAGCACTGTCATAACTTTGAACAGTTGCTGCATGAGGCATTTAGTAAATGAGGTCTACTTGTATAACTAAGGCTATCTGATCTCTTGGCCTCCATGCCTTTAAACCAGGGAAGTTCCATAGGGTCATCACTTCTATACCCAATATTATACCAGCTTCTGCCTAAAGACATGGATTTTTTTTTCAAAATTAAATCTCCAATGTATTTTGAGGCCCTCAAAAATATAAATGTTTACATAAATCTGTCTGCTGACAAGGTGAGGCTGGCAAATTAATTAAATTTCTCAGCTTAGCTTTCAAACTGGATTTAAGATAACTTAACCTTGTGTTTGATAAGCTAAGGTTAAAAAAAAAAGGAAACTGGGTAAGCCAAAACAGCACATTTTACTCCTGTAATGCTGTAAGCAACTTTTACCAGAAATACTCACAATGACATCAAACTTGGAGTAAATATCCACAACCCGGCCTGAAAAACAGAGAAAAGCCATAGTTCAGTATTTTGCATAGCTTTCCAGCCTAAGAAATGTACTTAAGTTGGAAGTAACCAAGAAAAACTTCCTGCTACAATGCAGAGCCATAAATGAACTCATCACCTTGCCTCATGCACAGAACAAGATAGAAACTGGATATATTTGAAAAAGTGTCTATTGTACTATACTAGATCAATGGCTTACAGAGCCTCATAAATCAATCAACCTATATTCAAAAGAAAAATAATGTGTGATTACTACATAGGGGTAAGAATACCCTTCTAATTTCCCATCTAGGGCAGTCAACAAGAAAATGTATTACTAATATATCAGCCTTCCACAATATTTAGTTGGCAATTTTATCACCTGAAGCCCCAGATAATGGGAATCTGTGGGACACCAAGTTACAGAATTTTATTATTTCAGAAGAAGTTCTTCAGCAGTTGCCGTTTGTCTGTAGTACCCTTCACTAATAAAACGAATAGCATTTGACCTCTGTTCCTCTTAGATGCCTTCATCTATTCCACAAAGCTGCTTTTCACCTGATTCATCTACCACGGGCAACGCAGAGACCCGATGCTGTACAAAGATGCCCAGCGCAACATAGACAGGCGTATTGGTCTGGACCTTTGCAATGTTGTCATAAGTACCAATCTTCAACTCCTCTAGGGTTTTGGTCATGAATTCTGGCTTAGGGAATTCAGCAATCTGCGGGACCACAAGAGAGAGATTCTAACAGCAAGTTGAAGCTTTGTGGGCAAAAGAAGTAAAACGGCATCTCACAGCTACACAAAAAAAGCAATGGTCCACAGAAAAGGGACACAAATCTCAGCAATGCGTTAACAGGAAAAGCCAAGCTGGCTTGCACTGAGAAGTACTCACAAACAGCTTGAGGAATTTGAGGATGCGCTTGTGTGTCAGGATGTACAGCGTGTTGCCTGACTCAGGGTCAATGACAGGTAGGCGGTGGATCTTGTTTTGAATCAAAGAAGTCACAGCATCGAACAGGCTTTACAAGAGAAGGGAGGAGGAGCATATCAAAACTAAGAAGACCACTCAGATGTCTACTTTATCCCCTTAACTCTACAAAGGGTGTCTCTAAAGCTCTGGCGGGGGTGGATAGCAGATACGAAAGCAGGAAAAAAAAAAGATGCAGCTGGGATTCCTAGATCTGTCCTCAAATCTGAGAGGAGATCAGATCTCATGCAGGTAGAGGTTTCTGGGATCTGCTCTAATTTATATTCCACCATCTTCCAAGACTCAAAAAAAACCTTCAACACATAGATAGAAATCCTCCTCCCTCTGACGTTTTTTGCCTTTGTGGAACCGGGGTGGGTGTGGCCTGCGCGTGGCGCATCCGGCCCGTGGTCCACCAGTTTGTCACCCCTGATCTATACCCTCATAGAGATCTTCTGCTTTAAATTACTTATGTAAACCTTTCCCCTTCTGAAACAAAGAAGAGAACCATTAGAGAGAGGATCTTTTCAGTGGCCCCAGGACACGAGAGGGCAGCAACTTGTAAGTTACTTGTTTGTTATTGTTGTTGCAACAGCCGCCCGAGAGAAGAAAAGGTGCATTATGAAGTTTTTCACCTTAGAAACAACAACAAAAAATCTTGGCTGATGTTGGATATTAAGCAGAAAGGAGGATAAGAGTGAGAGGAGTCATTTCCCCTTCTACATCAAGCACAAAAGGTCTTGGATAGGCCTTAATGTGCCCTGAGATGTTTGCCAGTATATAGGATGTGCATGTATCTATTAATTTAGCTTTTTCCCCCCTTACAAATGATTTCATCTTTCAAAAGATTTAATAGCGAAGAGTGAAGCAAGGAAAAAACATGAAGGTGTGATTGTGGACAGCTGTGGTTTCTTGTCCATGGTTAGGTGAAGATAGCAAGACACTGCATTGCCATTGCATTCATTAACTACCACAGCAGTTCTTCACATTCTTATTAAGTGTATATAAGTGAAAGAGAGAGAGGGAGATATGTTAGAGGAAGAAGTGGGGTAACTAATAGCTACTGTTAAACAGTAACTTAGTAGGACACTAAAGTAGGTGTGCCATTTCACTGTATTTCCCCAATTCTTCTATGTAAGACAGAATCTTAATAGGCAAAGGAACCCTCCAGATCTTTGAGAGACAACAAACCTGACGTGTGTATCTATTAACCACAGAGCTCTGAATGCACAATCCTCAGTGCATGCGTATAAAGAGGTGCAAAACTGAACTTTTGGTCTGATTTGCTTAGAGGAGTCAAAATAATAGTCACAATAACTTGGCACAAGATGCCCAAAATACAAGAGACAGGACCAGAAGAAGGACAACTGAGGATGTCCCTTGGCCCTTCCATTGCTTAATTGACAAAACATTAAGAGCTGAACATTTAAATCGAGTGTGGCAGTATTAAGGGCATGATAGCTAGGGGAAAAACTCTGTGGTGTCTTTGGGGCCTAAGCATGTGCCTATTTTCCTTAATAGTTAATCCAGGGCTGACAGGAGATAATCCATAGATTAGGACTAAACTGTAATGCCTCCAGAAAACACGAAGCGTGCCAGATGGGAAGACTGGCAGGAAACATTTTAGTGGCACTTCCAAAATGCAGAAGCAGATTAGCAGACAATCCCATTTGGGTGGAGTCTCCTACCTGGCATTGGGTGAAATGCAGACCAATGGCTTGAAGGAGTCCTGCAGATAGACTTCTGCAAGAGAAAGGAAAGATCATTCATCTGTGTCACTTTAGGAAGAGAGAAGAGAAAGTATAAAAGTACACCCTGGATGACCTGCTGATCCCCCTGCTGGTGACAGCCCAAAGGCCCAAATCTGCTACACAATCAGATGCCTAGGAGGGAAAAGAAGGACTTCCAATATCTGGAAGCACCCAGCACATTTTTCCAATTTCTTCACCAGAAATACCCCATATTCTCTTTGCCCCAACATAATAACCCTTCTGCCATTACCTCGCCATGTTTCAATCTTGTGCTCTTCCAGCTCATAAATTTGCACCTGGACACATAAGAAACAGTTTTAGGGCTAAGTGCAACAAATAACTTCCACCCATGCTGGTCAGTGTGTGCTCTAGCTTGCTGAGGATGGAATTTAATCTTCCAGGTGTCATACAGTAGATCCCAACCTGGCAGGATCAGGGACATGTTCCAACTGAGTAGAGCTTTGGCTGCAAAGAATGACAAAGCAGCCCCTCTTCAACAGTTGTTGCAAGACAAGATGTAAGCTTCTCCTGGTGCTTTTCCAATCCAGGTTTCATTGCCCCCAGTTAGCATACTTGTCATATAACTAAGGCATTTTGGCCACACTCATCTGCATCTCGTACTGTGAGAGGTTGAGAAAGAAGATGAGTGCTCATTGCTATTGTATCTCAGTATTCCATATAGACTGATTCCCCCCCCCACCCCCCGTTATTTGTTCTCCTTGGAAACCCTTGTACTGTGTTGTCAAGGCTGGATGAAGCTTCCTTAATAAACTACCACTTCCAAAATAAAATTCACTCTTTACATTAGATCAGTGGTTCTCAACCTTTTTAATGCCGCGACCTCCAACCGGTCGTAAGTCGAGGACTAAACCGGTCGTAAGTCAAGGACTACCCAACCGGTCGTAAGTCGAGGCCTTTCCCTGCCCGGGAGCGCCGCGCATGCGTGGTTCCGCCCCCTGCGCCGGCCGAGGCGTAGCTGGCAAGCGGCAGAGATGGAGCAGGCCGACCACCAGCTGGCCCAGCTCAAGGAAGGTAAGGCACCCACCGGAAAAGGGGGAAAAAAATGGCGGACAGCCTTGCTTGGCGACCCCCGTGAAATGGTTGATCAACCCCAAATGGGGTCGTGACCCATAGGTTGAGAACCGCTGCATTAGATGCTTCACCATGTATATTAATTTTTTTTCTTTAATAACTGAAAATTGGAAACAAACTCTTGCAATTCTCAGATGGGCAAAACTTCATAGTTGTGTTAAGGACCTTGTTTCAACCAAGAGCTCCTTTAATGAAGATAGAAGGGGATGAGAGGGCTCCAAGGGCACTTACCAGGGCTGATTTATAGTAGCGATGAAGGATGTTGATGAAGTCTGTGATTGTGAGCATTCCTGTGGGGGGATAGAAAGGAGTTGAAGAGGTTACCCTACGCCAGTGGTGGCGAACCTATGACACGCGTGCCAGAGGCGGCACTCGGAGCAACACGCACCATCGCCCCAGCCCCGCCTCCTCCCATGGCCCCCTCCTCACCAGCAGCCCTCCGGAGGAGAGTCGCCCCCGGGCATGGCCCACACAATGCTGCACAGCCAAAGACCTGGTAGCCAGGCACCGGGGACAAACCCTTGCACCCCATCGCGCGCAGATGATGCTACAGGGCACGGGCGGAGGGCGTGGCCACCATGGCGCTGCTGGGCTGCCTGGATGATCTGTGGCGGGCCACGGAGGGGGTGGGTGGTCCAGCGGGCACGGCGGAGCGGGGACAGGGGTGGGGCTGGTTTTTGGGCACTCGGTCTCTAAAAGGTTCGCCATCACTGCCCTAGGCGTTGGGAGGTGGAAGCCAGGGTAAGAAGATGAAGCAAGGAGGCCCTTACCCACAAAGCTTTGCTTTTTGCTGTCCCAGAGTGGAGCAGCCCGCACACCATTGGTCACCAAGGCAAAGAAGGCTTTCTTCACCTAGAAGCCACACAAACATGGGGCTGTCACACAGCATCTGTACCCTTCCTGAGGAAAAAAGTTACAGTAGCTTCCCAAATCTGGTGCCCTTCCAAAGTCTTGGGTTTCACTGCCAAAATCCCTCGATTCAAATCTAGGCAGTTCTGAGGATTATGGAAGTCACAATCTATCAGTCTAGAACAGTGGTTCTCAACCTTTTTAATGCCGCGACCCCAAAGTCGAGGACTAAACCGGTCGTAAGTCGAGGACTAAACCGGTCGTAAGTCGAGGACTAAACCGGTCGTAAGTCGAGGACTACTCAACCAGTCGTAAGTCGAGGACTTTCCCTGCCCGGGAGCACCGCGCATGCGTGGTTCCGCCCCCTGCGCTGGCCGAGGCGTAGCTGGCAAGCGGCAGAGACGGAGCAGGCCGACCACCAGCTGGCCCAGCCCAAGGGAGGTAAGGCACCCACCGGAAAAGGGAAAAAAAATGGTGGACAGCCTTGCTTGGTGACCCCCGTGAAATGGTCGATTGACCCCAAATGGGGTCGCGACCCATAGGTTGAGAACCGCTGGTCTAGAAGGAATGGAATGGGAAAATCCCGAATTAGAAGAAGGATCAGGAAGAAGAATCTCACATTTTTCAAGAATTTCAAAGGGGTACTTTTGTCAGCGCACTGTTGTTCACTTTGCCAGCTATGAAAAGGCTAAGCAACACGTACAAAAGACTGCACTACTGCTGTGAAGAGCATCTTATTTTGCATTTGTTTGGCTACTATCTAAATCCCTATCTAAAGGGAATAGAGAGGGTTCTGCTGGCCTGGTCTGCTCCTGAGATTACCCTGCTCAGGAGCAGACCAACATTTGTAATCTATAAAACATAGATTTGAATTATTTAATCTAGTATCTCATTTAGATACTAAGCATGTTTGTATGTTTATTTAAATAAAAAATACAAGCATGTCTCTAAATGAGGCATCGTATTTACTGGAATCGAATTCATACTTAGCCATGGTTGAAGTCAAACATAACTAAATTTAGGCGTTAATTATATGACTGAATTCACACCATGCTAGAATGTAATCTGGTTTGGTGGCTTTTTTTTTCCCCAAATTTTTTTTATTAATTTTGAAATAACCCCCCCCCCCATACAAATATAAACATACATTAATACAACTTTAGTATTATTAATTTTAACATACAAACATAAACATACATTAATATTGCAAAACAGCCCGGCAACCCCCCCCTCCACGCATCCGCCCTCTTTTCTCCTCCTTCAACCTCCCTACACATCCCACCTCCTTCCCCCTCCTCTTCCTACGGACAAGGTTTAGTGGCGCTAGCCGAGCATCAGCTCGGCAGCACCCCCTCCCCGCATCCGCCCTCTTTTCCACTACCTACCTACTTCTCTCCTGTCTCTCCTTTCCTCTTCCTCTCCCTCCCTTCGGACACGGTTTAGGGGTGCTAACCGAGCGCCTTCTATATTTCTCCATACATCAATACTCCTAATTTAATACTCATTTCTACATTAATGCTCATAATTCTATTTCTACCCTCCCTCTCACTCCCCCCCCGGACTTCCCAGAACTGATTACAGGGTTAAACACACATCATCCCAAGTCTAAATGTTACTACCCAAATATAAAGCAATCAAGTATAAACATACTTTAACTCAAATAAAAACAATCAAATATAAGCATATAAACATATAAACTCTAAGCATATAATCTATCCATCTTCCCGAGGTTTGGTGGCTTTTAACTGGTTGTGATTGATTTAATAAAGCATGGTTTAAAAAACCATGGTAATATAATTTGCAAACCAGGTCAGTAACTCTATTCTGCCTAAGACTAGATCCAAACTAGATCAAAATTTAAAATTTCATCACTAATTTTATAAGGTTTATCACCTCTTTAAAAGCAAACGTTAGCAATTTTTGACCCAAACGACTGATATTTATGTCCACAACTGTGCACTCAAGCTGCCAGAGGCTTTATGACCCTGGAGCATGTACACACACATACAAGTCCCACAAAATTTTCTAGAGAGTTTTCTACATACAAATACAGAGACTCTCCCTCTATCTGTTGGTAGCCCCATTTTACTTTTCTTCGATTGAAGGAAATGAAGGTTTACCCAGGCATCTCAATTCCCTAGAAAACTTCTACTGCTACTGTTCTGTCCATCAAACCAGGTTGTTACCCACCTGCAGAGATGTATCAAATACAACAAGCTTGGAGCTTGTTGGAATGAGGTCATAACAGCGATGTGACTTCATGAAGCATGTGTATATGCCGTTGGAATCGCCATCTGTTCGAGGAAGAAAAAACTACAAGATATCCCTTAACAAAATAACATCAGAGCAGAAAAGCTCACACTCCTAAGAAGCTTAAACATATCAGAAAATATGTTTAAATACTATATCCATTCTATGTGCTTTTTTAAAAAAAAATTCAACCTGTTAAAATAAAGCACATCTGAGTATTTTGCACAACCCACTGCTATTTGCTCAATTAAATCTAGTATCTTTCAGAAAGAAAAAACAGAATTGAAGCTTCATCCCCCAAGTGCTACATGTTCAGTTCTCCCCTCCTCTAACTTTCAGCAGAAACTTCAATTTCCAAGATCACCTTCAAGGCTGTAAGGAGGAAATTAGTTGGTAAAGTTAGAAGATGAGAGTCTTAAAATGCCCAGGCCATACAGTCTGCTTCTGGAAATTGATGGACAAGCTTAAATCACTATGACAAGACAAAAACGTTGCTAAAGATCAGAGTCTGTTGCCACAGAAAGTGGATTTCCTAGCTCAAAATCCACCAATCTACTTGGCAAATTCCTAGAAGAAAGTAACCCCAACAGTTCTTGTTTGCAATTTGTTTAAATTACTGCTTTTATTTACTGCTGTAATCTTAATTGTGGTTAAGGGAGTGGATAGAATAAATATTTGCAATAAACTACACACGGGGACCGAAACTGAAGAAAACCAGTCTTTGTGCCTCACTCACCTTCTGATAAAGGCAGTTTTTTCTCCAACCCACCTTCAGGTACTGCGCCCTAAAAAAACCAGGGAAAGATAGAAATCAAGATGCACTGTCTCAACATATAATTCCTGCAATATCGTATGTTGGTTGTTTCTTAAAACATAATATATAATAATTAGGAACCCTATATCAGTTAAGAAATCTTATTAGTAATGATATTTTTTGAATTGATTAAATCTGAACGTATCTGCATATGAGGAAATAACCTAATTTGTTTTGAAAGAGATTTTAGTATGTTAAAATAGAATTGCTTCCCAAGACAGAGGGGGAACTGCCTTGTCAAAGTTAAATTGCATCACCTGTTTTCCAAAGTACAGGTAATCCACGACTTACAACGACAATTGAGCCCAAAATTTATATTGCTAAAGTGAGACAATTGTTATGTGAGTTTTGCCCCTTGTTATTTTTCTTGCCACAGTTTCTAAGTGAATCACCACAGTTGTTAAATTAGTAACATGGCTGTTAAGTGAATCTGGCTTCCCCATTGACTTTGCTTGCCAGATGGCAAAAGATGATCACATGACCCCGGGATACGGCAACTGTCATAAATGTGAGTCAG